AAACCATTTTCTTGCAGTGCTGAGTGGTCACACTTCTAAAATAAGAGCAGAGGTATTTATATCAGGGCTATTACTATTACCATATTAACTGCATCCAACAAGTGGAGTATGTGCATGGCATAGCTAACGTATCAAATTGCCCCGAGCAGTTGTTGACCCCAATAAACAAAGAAATTTATGTTCCTAAAGCAACATGCCAGTGTGCTGGTCAGAGATCAGCAACATCCATCCTTCTTGGATAGTCTGCTTTCCTTAATACAATAAACACCAGTTCTTACACTGACCTGTTGCATCTCATCGTCTTGCAGGATTAACAAGAATGAAGCCACATGTTGCTTCCCGTACCAAACACGGAACGTTCCTGTGCCCTTCCCCTGGGTGCTTTTTGCAAGGCAACAAGATTCACTAAACCCCTGTTATACCCAGCAAGTGCCCTGCAGAGCCTGTGAACTTGTACAACTCTGCCAATAGCAGTGGAGCAGCAATGTAAAAGGGGCAGTCAGTTAACAAGGAAAATTACCACGAAGGCAGGTAACTGCTTCAGCTGTGAAAAAGAGGCCCTTGGAATCCCCAGCCCCATGGAAAAGGCCCCATTTCAAATGCTACTTCAGGTCTGCAAGTTAGATATATTCATCATGTTCAGACTGAATTATCATTCCTAATAAATAAAGAAGAYATCTACATAATGCTGAGATAGTGTATGAAAAAGGAATGCTTTGAGTGAGCTAATATTATCAAGACATTTATATTATACCTCTGTGTTTTAGCAGAAACCTGAACTACAGGGAACAAGAGAGTTATCATTATAAAAATGGTGAAATACTGTTTGGGTTTCATGAAAGATTCACATCCAATAATTTGTGAAATGTTTCCTGCTCCTACGTTGTGGCCGGGACTTCAACTGTCTTCAGGTACAACACCAAATGCACTGAGAAATAAGGGACCAGTTAAAAAAGTTACATCCCACAGAGTATTTCTAACCTCCTTTTCTTACCTACAATATGTGCAGATTCTCAGAGGAGAGTTGGCTTTACTTTTGTCACATCAAATAGAGAAAATGTTATCTTGATTGGAATTAGCAAAAAAAAAAAAAAAAAAAAGAGATGTTTATATAACCTCAGGCAAGGAGCTAGCCTTGAAATGAAAATGTAACCCACAACCATCCTGTTACTGTTGTGTGCAATCCAGTGAGTGTAGAGCCCAATATCTCAACTTTTGAGTGTGAAACTATAAAACAGGGCTAGGAAAGCTTACTATATAATTGCACTTCCAAATGTTTTTTTGTTGCCTTTGATGCATTTTTAATAGACTTTATCCCATAAGGCATGATAAAGCTTTGYAATTCATTTTTCAATCTTTCTTTTGCTTTTCTGGATGCAATATGCATAGAAAGGCATAAATATAGGTGGTTTTCCTCYGATTTATAGGAAAGCAGCTTATATAGAAATATGCATCCACATGGCCACTCACCAAATTGTACTTCAACTGTTCAAGTGTACAATATGCACTCTTTTTTTTTTGTATGTTTTCTTAGCTGACTATATAAAGTTTTTAAATTAGAAAACCAACAAATATGTTGAGGAAACAAATCTTTTAAATGAAGTTTTAATATAGCAGTAGAAGATAGTACATAATAGCCTAAGTAGATAGTACATGATAGTAGTAGATAATATATCAATATGTATTAAAATCTATCAAACTGTTAGGATTTGAGAACACTTTTCTTAAGAACCTCCAAATCATGGCTGAGTAGAAATACTCAAGGGGGGGGGGGGGAAGGAAAAAGGAGAAAAGATCATCAATTTACTTCTTTTCTTACTGAAGATGACTTGCAGCAATTCTTCTATTGTGCCTGCTACTGTGCATTCTTTGCATTAGACCATTTCCCTGCTCTTATCCTAAAGCACATTAAAATACACTTACATGAAGCCTTTCAGTGAATCTTTTATGCAAGATGAACAATTTACACTTCAGCCAGATCTGACGAGGAGGGAAAGAGCACACTACAGCTATTCTCTTGTTTCTAGCAAAGCTCCACCAGTGTCTCCTCAAATCTGTAACAGCACAGACCTAACCTCAATTGAACTAAGGGTTAACAGAAACACACACACTTTCCGAAATTTAGTTTGCCTATTCTGGGAGGACAGGGGGTTGCTTCTGGAAAAGTGATCTTTACTTCTCAGAGCGCAACTGATGAACACTCTTCTGTAACAAAGTCATTAATCAATGAATGAAAAATGTCTTTTAGGAGCTCTTGAGTAAACATCAGTTTCCAGAAATTAATCTTTGCTCTAGCAGCAGCAGCAGCACCCAGTCCCTACATCGCTTTTTGATAGGATCTGTAGCAGATCAATGCATGAAAGCAGGGAAGTTAGCAAGAAGACAAAGAGAGGCTTTACACGCAGACATRTTTTTGTAAAATTATTCTTTGGGTATATGAATTAATTTTTGATGCTCAAAAAACATGTTCCATTCCCATAAACAACAAGYACAGCTGGCCAGCAAACAAGCCCTGCCAAACACGCTCGTTTCTTAGAGAAAGACCAAGTGAAAATCTGTTTGGAAACAGGTCCATCATCGTCCTAGGTGGTCACTGCAATAAGTATAGCTGAAGAAGCTGAAAACAGCAGTGAAGAGTAGAGCTGTAAGATACCCACCAGCATAGCTCACACTGAGGTGAGAAAGCACTTCCTGCTGGATTTTTTTTTGTGCCATGTTAGAGATTCTCTTACAGAGTTTAATGTCCTTCATATAATATAGACAAGGAAAAAACTTGGGTTGTCACAAAACCCTAATGCTGATATGCCTTCTAAGGTGTGCCATATCATCAACGTTTGAGCAACCAAAGCTATTAAGTTATCCCTTGTTAAAAATTCAAATACTATATGTGAAATCAATGTGATTTGGGGTAGAAAGAAYTGCTGACATCCTTTTGAAAACAAGATCCTGAAAAACACTTAAGAAAATCTAGATACATTCCTGTTGAAAGTATGGACAAAAAAACCCAGATCCTCCTAATAAAGTGTGAGATGGCAAAGCTCAGCTGTTGATGTTTTCCCTGACCACCACTAAGCTGTTATTAATTAGAAGTACTTAAAAATGCAAAACACGTGCAGGTAAGGAAGAGACAAGTAATTAATAAACAACACATCACAATAACTTAATCAAATGCATAATTAGTGATTCTTCAAACAGAAATAACAGCCCTTTCCAAGCATAAGGAATCACMGTACTAAGAAACTGTCACACCTCCTCTACAGACACAGCCCCAAAGAGGCAGACACRAGAACCCTGAGCTAGGCCAATGCGGCAAATGCTACAAGGGAGAGGGTACAAGGTGACATTCCCCTTTAGCCACAGGTCCCCAGCACTTCCCAGCTCACGGTYGCAGAGCAGAATTGAATTCACTCTGTGTCAGAAGGCATCTAAATGGACACTGCTTTAAATCTCCGTGCACGTTTTATGCCATATCAGCTGCTGCATGACTAACTTGCCCAGAACCTGCTATGACAAAGTGGTTTTGACATTAATTATTTCCTATGTTGACAGAAACTGAGAAATCTTTAGGCTGATGAAACAAAGGAATATTTGAAAATAACTGCTGACATCTTCCATCACAAGTCAACAAAGAATTATCAGCTTAAACATCCCATTCAAATGAGCTAGTTCATTGCACTGTGCCTAGCTCTGGCAACACAAAAAAAGTATCAGCAGGCACTCAAAGGAAAAAAAGAGCCTAATCCAAGAACAAGAATGTTGGACTGTGCACATGCAGAGTTGTCAATGGCCTAGATAAGATCCTAAGGAAAGAACCAAACAGCTGTGAAAAGTAACATACTTGTCACAAACACGTTTTTTCTGCTTCAAAAATGGCAAATGCTGGAAAAAAATAGCGTATGAGGTTCTTATAAACAATGCTGTCATTTGCACATCGAGTAAGTAACATCCTGCTAACTGTGCATGGTACTTGGGACAATTTGTGCAGGTCRAGGGCCTTTTCTTTTCGCATTTCTCTGCCCTGACAAACTCTGAAAGGTCAGTTCTTGTAGGAGGTTTTCCTAGCTTTTCCTGTAGGCAATTCTGTTTGCAAGTCCTCTCCCAAATATTACACCACAACGAGTGAGAGCATAAGGAAAATATATTTTCCCACAAGATGCAGAGACTATTAAGCAGCACACCTCAAAATACAATGAGATTAAATAGTGGCTCTGGAAATAAAAAGCAAACAAGGCAAGGTTAACAGATCAGTTAAAGGGTAGGACATGAGCAGAAATGATCGTATCATATAAACAAAGTGAGAACAGAAAATGATTTGGGTTTTCACCCAGAACATACTGAAATAGCTGACAGCCTTCCCTTTGACTTGAACACTTTCTGGATCAAGTCCTGCCTAGGTTTTCAACTTGGACAGAAAGTTTCACAAAAGCTTCAGCCTACTCACAAGAATAGTCTGGGACCACTAAAGTCATCCCAACCAATGAATCTAGTCACAGGCAGTCCAACTGCACCACCAGTTTGGTATCTCCAGGACCTTCTACTTTAAACCTGAGCCAAGTTTTGCGCAGGATACCAGGACTGTGGGGCTTAGAACTTAGGCCTAAGTAGATATCCAACCACCACCTCAGATTTTTTGAGGCTTTTGAGGATGTGTTTTGGAAGGATTTAAGGACGACCGCCTGACTTGCCTCAGACATCCTCCAGCAAACATTCACAGCATTTAGTGTAGTCAAAACCAACACGTTTCTCAGATTAACATGCATTTGTCTTCATCATATGAAACCCCTCGGCACACCATAATACCTGCAACACTGAAGTCAGTTTAGATAGCGGGGCAGAAGCTGAAAGGCATATCCTGAGGTGAAGCAACACAATTTCAAAAAAGGAACATGAAAGACAAAGGGAGACAGAACATGGCACAACATCCATGAGCGAGAGAAGATAAATTTTAATGACAAAACATGGGGGAGGACATAAGTAAATGACGGCAGAAAGGAACTTACTTGATTTTACTGAAGACAATATCAACATCTGTGATTGTCACATTCTTCCCATCTATCACATGACAGTCCTTACATAGCTTTGACCAGTTCTTCCCGTGCATTTCTTTTCCTGTGGCTCTTGTATCGCCATGGATGGCAAATTTTCTAAAAGCCTCTTCCAGAGCACTTATTTCTCCTGCCATGGCTCCCTCGTGTGAGCTGTTCGAATCATAGGATAATCGTTTTGCTGCTCGCTCCTTTGCTGGATCTGAAGGAGACTTTGGAGGAGTCTTATTCGCAGGCTTGGTTGACTTTGCTTTATTGTCAGCCATTGTGCTACAAAGAAGAGGGAAAACATTACATTAATTTGCATGATTTTACCTTTTACTAGGCTTTGAGAACAGGACAGGTTATAGTCCACAACATATCAGAAAGGCCATAAGGTTAGCAAGGATTTTGTGCCCTCCACCATCCAACAATTATTACAGCTATACACGCAACTATGCAACCTCCTGTTCATCTAGACATTCTAGTTACAGTCCAGTAAATAAAAAAAAAAGGATCAGAAAACTTTTGCCATCCCCAAACAAGGCATAAATCTACTTTCACCAACATTACATCAGCCAGTAAGACAACACTTACCAGTATTTTTCTTAAGATGGCAAGCTGAATTCACTACAGTTCAATAGTTGAGGTGCTTTCCACCATGGCACCTTACTGACTTGAGGAGAAGTCTGCCTTTTACACAGAGTATATAACAACTCCCAAGGGAAAATAAATCTTGATTTCCTGGACTGTGAGTTTTTAACAACTGTTTATCAAAAATGGACACTGCAGTGCAAACGTCAATGTTTCCAAAAGCTAATAAGTAAGGAAATTCCCAGAAATTATTGGACAAAACTCCCTCAGTTAGCCAAATCAGTTGTTTCTCAAACTTATGCCCAAAGAAGTGTAGCTTCAGCCCCTTGGAACGAACACCTCCAGGATAAAGGAGTGCTGAGAAGAGATGACATTACTGCAGAGAACAAACTTCAGGTTACCTCATGCTCACATTGGCTAGGTTTGCTGTTCAAAAGCAACCTTAAACCAAAGAACAGAATGCTAACAGCTACATTCAGATAACGTTACAGAAKGCAGGAAAAAAATAAAAGGAAGACCAAAAGAACACCGAGAAGACTATTTCTTACTCTTCCTTCCTTCACTCCTTGGTGGGAGTTGCTGCCTGCTGAAGCAGAAATGCACACTGCTGAACAGGAGAGCTGAACCCTCTTCCCGTGAATCGGAGACGCCGTAGGGACACACTAGAGCCCAGGGATACGCCAGGACAGCGTTGTCAGTGCCACAGGAGCATCTGCGCATCCGGCCACAGGATGGCTGAGACTGGAAGGGACCTCTGCAGATCASCTGGTCCAACCTCCCCGACCAAGCAAGCTCACTTAGAGCACATGGCCCCGAATCCTGCCCACAGGGCTTTTGAATATTTCCAAGGATGGCGGCTCCTCAACAGGTCAACCCATTCTAGTGCTCTGTTTTCCTGCCCACTTCCCCCCTCCCACTCACCCCTGCTGCTCCACACACACACAAAGACATTTTTTACTAATGTTCAAATGGAAATTCTTGTTTTAGTTTGTGCCTGTGGCTTTTTGACCTCTACAGCGGGGCATCACTGAAAGGAGTCTGGCCCCATCCTCTCTACAGCCTCCTTTCCCATATTTGTACACATTGATAACATTCTCTCTCCGTCTTTTCTGCTTCAGACTGAGCAGGCCCACCTCTCAGTCTCTCCTCATACGAGAGATGCTCCAGTCCCTTAATCATCTTTGTTGCTCTCYGCTGGACCCTATCYAGAAGCTCCACATCCCTCTTATACTGGGGAGCCCAGAACTGCCCCCAGTACTCCAGGTGTGGCCCCACCAGAGCTGAGGAGAGGGGCAGGATCCCCTCCCTTGACCTGCTGGCAACATCCTCCTGATGCAGCCAGGATCCCATTGGCCTTCTTGGCCACGAGGGCACACTGCTGCCTCATGGTCAACTTGCTGAACACCAGCACTCCCAGGTCCTTCCCTGCAAGGTCAGCCCCCTCAGCCTAAACTGGTGCCCGAGATTACTTCTCCCCAGGTGTAGGACTCTGTATTTCCCTTTTTTAAGCTTCGGGAGGTTGCTCTGTGCCAGCCCTACTGTTTGTTGAGGACCCTGTGCAGGCCAGTGCAGCCCTGCAGTGCATCAGCCCCTGCTGCCAGGTTTGTATCACTAGCAAACTTGCAGAGGTTCCCTCTGTCTCTTCACCCAGGTCACTGATGAGTAAATTACCCTTAGCTGAGCACATGTAAGAGGCCCTGGAAGACCTAGAGATCGGGCACAAAATGAGCCTGCCCCAGCCGCTAAATGCAAGCTGTTGCTCACACACCTGTTTAATTGCTACCAATTTTAATACAGAAAGTGCTCCCAGTACTACAAGCTTGGCAAACACTGGCATAAAGGCTGGCAAGTCCACCACACTGCCCAGATCCCCCTTGTGAAATCACAAACACATGCTTAGCACCAGCCTGAGGTTAATGTGTACAAAGATTGTCATGCACTTCTAGTTAAAGTTTTATTTCTGCCTCAAATGGGCAACTCGCTGTTTACATGCTGTTTCAAAAGAAGCTGCAGAGCTATGGAAACAATCCTTACCTTCTCCCCACTCCGATTCTGCTTCACCTCCGTTCCTCGGATGGCCACATCAAGCTCCCTTCCCTTCCCCTCAGTCCCGCAGGCTGCAGGGGAGCCACCAAACCCTCATCCACGAAGGGCTGCTCGCTGARCAACACTTACTGCTCAGCTCCAAGCCCTGTACACGCAGCGGTCCCTCCCGCAGCATCTTTGTGACGTGGAGAGGTCGGACCACACAGCAACACGCGATCCACAACAAAGCATCCCGCCGCGAGCTGGAGCCTTCCATCTCCAGCAAGGGAAAACAGAGCCCAGGCTGGGAACAGTAACTCTACCCCCTCCCTTTAAACTTCAGGCTCTTTTTTCCCCAGAGGATAACACTGAAATCATGTCTTTTGGGAAGTTTGTCTTAATTCAATCCTCAGCCAACAATCACTATGTCATCTTCAGCTTGACAGTGGAATATTCTACTTTTTAAGAACATGTACTTAAAATAAAACACTGGCACTGGACCATAGAAATTCCTAGGAGCTCTGCTATTGTCTTGGCATCTTTAATGACAGCCACAAACCCATACTCGAAGTGCTATAATCGACTTGTATTGAAAGGAGAATCTCTGGTGAGAACAGGAGTGACAGCTCTCTGATAAGCAGGCTGAGTTTCCTGAAACAAGATTCACAATCCACAACTAGCAACACCTTTTAATTAAAATTTCTTCAGTAAAGGATCTTTGTCCTTTACACTTGAGCAAATGCAGCACAGCCAAAGCAGCACTGTGCATTTTGAAARCACTTAAGTAAATGCTTAAAAACCTAGTAACCTATTAAGCCTGGGGATTCCACCTTGCTTATACGTTCAGCACAAATTCTAGTCAACAACCTGAAATGCTAAACTACAAATTAAAGTGACAGGAATTTAACAACTGTAACCTGAGAGTTATATGTGCACCTATAAAATAATATGAAAAGCAAAGAATGAACTTGAATATTTAAAACTCATTAAAAAGCTAAATACATAATCAATTCCCATTTCCATTACTGTTTCATTCTGTCAGCACTCAGAACACCTATAATTTTTTTTTTTTTTTTTTGGCGCTGAAGGTCTCTCTGCACTGAAATGCTAAAATAACAAACACTCTGGGGTTAAACTATAAGCTGGTGCAAGCATTATATCACATGTAGATGTTSACTTAAATATATATATATAAAATAGCTACACACATTACACAATCTAGAACAGGACATGAGACAAGGTACAAAAGAAACAAAACACTGCTGAAAAGCTGTGGAAAATAAATCACATTAAAAATCAGATCATAAAGAGGTATAAAGAGGTATAAACTACCTCTGTCMCGTGGAAAACATGACTTCCAATAGCAGAAGTCTCTTCAGAGCGCACATCATTTCAAATCCACGGGAGCTAAAAACTAAAAGCAGGAAGTCTCCAGGCTGACTTAACTGGCTAGGCAGAGAACAAGCATGTGCAAAATGTCTCTATTTTAATACCTGTGGAGGATACTAAAAGCCAAAGTTAACTCCATAAGCAAATAAGGGGASAAGAGTATGCCCGCTGCCACAGTAAGTAGTCATGTCATTGAGCAGTCTTACTGGGCAACAAATAAAGCTGYCGAGAGATCTTCAGGGGAAGCCTCTTCTTGCTGCCAGCAATGCAGCCTGGAAGCTCAGTGGCAATGCRCTTGGAAGGGAAGGCAGTTTACAAACCCTAAGCAAGAAAGCCTACGTGCCACTGCAAACATCTGAAATATTTTTGCGAAGCATCTGGTAATTTAAAATAATCAGATGGAATACTTGAAAGGGCTCTAATTCTCTGAGCCAAGTGGAATTTAAGTCGGGTACGTTCTCTCGGCCTGTACAACAGTCCTGCACAGTCTGCAGGATGAGAGATCCATTTAATATCTTTTCTACCTGCTTTCAGTTGCTGCCGTTTCCCTTGCCCACTTCCCACACCTCAGGATACCTACCCCTTCAACTAGATGTCTAAGCAGGCAACATGAATTTCCCTGTAACATTAAGTACACGTAAGAGATCAAACTCGTACAACTCTAAATCCCTGCTGAGCTCAGCCCCAAAATCTCATATACCAAACAACTTCTGCAACTATTAAAAGTGTTCTCAAATTTGCCAGCACATCATAGACAAAAGAACTATGAAAATTAAAAGCTTTTCAACTTGATATAGGAAAAAAAAACACTTAAAGGAATATATTTGGCCTTGAGAACGAATGTTCCTTTCTAGAATTAGTACTCTTCATCACAAACCAGCTTCACATAAGAGCGTTGAGAGAAGCTCAGGTGGTGAAGACCCAGGTACAGGAGGGACTACTTGCTCTGTGGAGATTCCTTTTGCCCTCCYTCATTCTGTAACTCTGGGAAGAGGTATGAAGAGGGAGAGAGAAAGCTAGGGATCGATGCGATGGAAGTCCTGAGTAACTCGGGCTAAAACTGCACTGAGAACACAAACCTCTGCTCTCCGGGGCACCTCCACATCACTAGAGGAGCTTCCTCTCAGCCAGAGGCTGCAGTGCGTACTCACCTGCAGCACGATGGCAGCTGGGCAGGAAAGGCCCCAGATTAAGCTACGCACTAATCTTTCAGTCCCTCAAAAAAAGCAGATGCCTGGAGGCTACTGCTTCTGTGAATTCCAGTGTGGCAGTTCTCAACAGCTACAACAMCACAAGAAGCAGGAGGAGGCCAGAGCCTCAGGACTGACCAAACCCAGCTCTAGAAAAGGATTTGCATCCATTTGCACCCCTTCACATTATCCACATCTTCTCCAGGTGGCAACCAAAGCTCATGGCACAAGTTCAGTGACTCTCCTGATGCAAAATAAATAGGCTTGTTAATTGTCAACGTATTAACTAGTCCAGTTTATAACCTCCAAGCCAAACAACGCTTTTCTAGAAAAGTAAGAAGGAATCTCCCTATGGCCAGGGGGCCTTGGTTTTGGAGCGCGCCGTGTATTTTCTCATCTCCTTTGCCTAGCTAAGTGCACGTTGAATTGCTGTCACTTGCAGCATGTGTTACAAAACCAGTTTTCAATGGAAGCCCTGTTGMATTATTAACAGCCCCAGAAACAAGCAATAGTGTATTCCTCTTGGCACAAAGGACTAGAATAAACCAATCTACTCTGCTAGCACTAAAACAGAAATGTACTGAAGACTCAGACGCACTTCCATTAATAGAAAAGGTGGCAAATTTTAAAAACAGGTGTTCTTTAGAACATAGAATAAATTCGTTGAAATTTACAGACATAATCAATTGGCTAAGATGATGTCAAAAGTCCTATGAACTAAGCAAAATCCACATTTATTTTAAGAGAAAGATATTTTAAAGGCACTAGAAAAAAAAAAAAAAAATCAAGCAGGCTCTATTTATGCAACTGCCAAGATTGACAAAACTAAGAAAAAGCTTCAATGCAGTAGTGGTATTGCTGACATCTACTCCTTCCTATAATGTTGGTTTTGCATATGCCAGCCTTATTTCTCACCTGCAGCAACTAAATCCATCGCAACTCAAGCAGCTCATCCTGGACRCCATTTCCAAGCACAGGAAGGCTAAGAAAGTGATTGGCAGCAAGGATTCACCAAGGAGAAGTGATGCTTAGCCAAGCTGAGAGCCTGCTCTGCTGGACTGACTGCCTGGGAAGCWGAGGGGAGAGCAGTGGATGTGACCTGCCTTGACTCCAGCAAGGCTTTGGACCTCTGCTAGCCCYGGAGGCAAGAACCACGACGAGGCTCCGCACACTCTGTAACAGGCATTCAGCACCGAAGTATTTCCTAGTTCATGGAGAAGTTTCATCTGGCAGATCCTCCTTGTATCCTCATCTTCCAAAGGGAGGAAAATAAAAGGTTGACAGAGACTTGCAAAAGCACCTGTACATTTATTCATTTAGCCAAAAGAATAACATTCTCCATTCAGTCAAGTGGTCACTTGTAACACGAGTATGAACATGCCTAGCACTTGAGTGAACGTGCAAGAAATCAACAGTCAAAAGTCTGTTGATTTGGTCAAGAATCAGAAAATACTGTAGGCAGGAAGGAGTGAGACAACTGATCCCTAACAATGCAATCAAGGGACACAAAGGTGAAATAATTTTGTAAATAATAAAAAAAAATAATAATATAATAGAAATAAGTGATAAAGAAATAAAAAGAAATAAAGAAATAATAATTCTACTTAAATTTTAACCTCATGGTAAGATTGCTATTTTTGTTTGATTCTCCTGTCATAAATGCCCACCTCTGCCTCTCCAAATGTCCAATGTCATGTCCTGGACCTAACCCAGCTGCAAGCATTCATATTTCCTAGATGGTCTTAACCTGAAAGGTTCTTTATGTTTAAAAATAGGTAAATCTATAGGTAATAAATTCYGCCCCAAGGCACACAGCCTAGTAGTTTTACATTAAGAATTACCTGTTTTTACCTTCTCTTCTCCTTCAAATCTTCTACCAAGGGTTGGTAAGGATGCACTTGTAARGTTCTCTTTTTAATCAGATTCTGTTTCTGCACTCTTGATGACACTATCGCCAATGTACCACAAAACAGGTAATATCCAATACATCTTAAGAGCTTCCACCCAATGGAAGCAGAAATGATRGCAGCATATTTTCAAAGAGCAGGAGAGGTACTATTTGTGTATGAGCAAACTGGAGACATTAACGCACGCATGAAAGGCACTACATTTTGGCAAGTTATTGCCAAAATATTATTATAATACTATTAGCACCTATTTCAGTATCTATGTTTTTAGACCAAATTTAAAACTAAAATATTAAAGAATTAGAGCTAAGGGGAATTCTCATTTGTTTTCCATATGTAACTTTATGCCAAATAACAGCAGCAGAGACAAAGCACAGCAGATGGGATCTTTTCCCCATATTTCTGTGCATAAACATTCAAACCAAGGAACAGAAGCAGAAGCTGCAGAAGGACGACCTTCTCCTAATGAGGCACAACACACTCGGCAGGGCTCACACAGCTTCCCCTACAGGGCCTGCCCTGCCAGCAGTGTGGCCTGGGGTTACGGTGCTCCCCAGCTCTGCTCCGGGCACGTTTCTCCGCACGTGGCATCCGAGGGAACGGGAACCACGCACACCTAAGAGCAGGCACCCAGCACGAAAGGGAAAAGAGCCGTGGAGCCCGCAGGGGAKGCAAAACCGTCACTGTTCTGTGCAAAGCTACCTCTGCATATTCAGCCACACAGGCTCAAATCCTCTCAGAGGCCTCCGGAGGAACTGCACGCTGGCGCTGCCTGAACAACCCGCCGTGTCTAGCACTATGGACAGGGCAAGGCTGCGCGGAGCYGCGGAGCTCAGCCTCTCACCTGGACCCGCGCGCAGCTCCGCGCGCCTGGCGACTCACGGCACCCAGTGCTTCCCTTCAGCAAAACTGTGCGTCTCGCTCTGGTGAAGTAACACACACCGTCAGAGGAACAATCTTGGAAAAGACATTATCAAGCACAGCTTATTTTGCCTATGGACAGGAATACCTTTCTATTGCAATGACTGTTGTCATCCACCTACACAGTCAATGCTACAAGAGCACTGATATACAAAAATTAAGTTTATTTCTTAGCAAATTACAGTGCTTGTCTCTACTTCCTATAAATCTCCTCTTTATACACACACACACACACACACACACACACACACACACACACACTTGAAATACCTACGCACACATGCAGACCATCACTAGCAACTATTCCACTAGAATATATTTTTAAAACCATAGTTTCAGCTAACAACACTTCTGGGGGAGGGGATAAAAATCCTTCTACACCCAAATATTCTTCACCAGGTCTACAGTATGCTGTAATGCCACCACATCCCTTACATAAGGCTTCAACTATGACAGCAGCAGCATCAACACACCCATCCATCTGGGCTTACGTGCTGGTGAACTCCGTCCTGTTTTTCCCCTTGCCCTTCCCATGATGTAGCCTTATACTATTTGAGTATCTTACTCAGTAGGTGGTTATTCCCAGAGCTTGTTTGTCCATGTTTGTCAGACAAGGAAATAAGCAGGTCCTAAAGGTTCTGCTGTTTCACATAGTGCAAGGATGCAAGCAAGCACCCAGAACAGTCCTCAAAGGAAAGTGAGTATCACACTTTTGTAAAGGAAGAAAAAGAAATTTACACTGGCTAAAGCAAAACAGGAGAGAAGCCTCAACTGCTTAGACAACATATATTTTTCTTGACCTATCAAGAAAAGGCTGGTCAATCAGGGGCTCAGCACAGAGATCTCCCCAATGCCACAAAGACAGGGAGCCTTTGCATTAACAACTGCAAACATTTTAAGAGAACCGAGCTGATGCCATTGCCAGAGAGAACATTTGATTAGAGGAAAATTGAGCTTAACACTCACAGGGACTGAAAGCATCCCAAGACTTAACACTCACAGCTGACTACAGCTCCTAGGCATGAATGCAATACAARCGAGGAGCAAAATGTCTCCTTTTGACCAGCTGGCAGTGGCACCCAAAAGTATTTATGTCCAGACACAGCACATACTGCACTGAGGAGAGCAAGGGGAGAGTCCATAGAGAAATTCCACTGGCGAGAAGAATGGGAATACAAGAATATAACAGCACTAGCACCTAATCACAGCCGGACTACAGTTCATTAGTGCTACAGCTCCCACTGCAGTTCTATTAAAACAATTGTTAAATGCAAGTAGCCGAGAACTGGCAAATCACAACCAGTACAACAGATCTTACAGGTCTATTGCTTCGTTAACCCTCTGGAAGGGGAACGGCATCCCAGTGCAACAGTGATGCGAGTCACAAACCTGTGTTTACCTGCAGCCGGGCACTCCGAGGAAATGGCGTTGCASAGAAAAGCAGCCTCCCTGCTGCACACGGAGAGCCCCCTCCACTTACGTAAGGGCGGCAGGCAGCAGCTCTGCGCCAATGGAAAGGGCAGCACATCCGCGAGCTGCTACCCCACAGCACAGAGCGGTCTTGCCATTCCTTCAGCGCAGCGACACGGGCTGCCAGATACAGYCACGTCCTCACGCCGGAGACTTACATAATCCCAGCGCGCCGGGGAGCAAAAATATTGGAGGGGGTGTTTTAACTTAAATCTTAGCTTAGTGCCCGAGAGCAAGCGAGCGGGTCCAAACGTCGAGCGGCTCCTTCTCCAAGGCGCTGCCGGACTCGAAGCGCCACTGGCCGCCTCGGCACGCGCCCACAACCCGTTTCTGTCAGCGTAAACAGGCAAGCCTGCCTTCTCAAAAGAGCCTGCTTCTCCAAATGAGCTCGAGCTTCAAGCAAAACAACTTCTATCGCGCAGCTAGGGCATCACCGTGATTAATGTAGCATTAAAAACAAGCAAGCAAGGCGTTTTTTAGCATGGTCAGCCCACGGCTTCAATCAGCTGCGTAAGCAGCGGGTATGTCCCCTCGCAGGGGCCGGGGCCGGGGCCGGCGCGGGCTCCATCCGCGCCCGCTGCCGCCCGCCGCTGTCCAGCCCGCAGCCCCCGCGGGAGGACGGCGCCCTGGGCCGCGTCCCGCCGCGCATCCCCGCGCAGAAGACACCCCGCGGCTGCCGTTTCTTTGGGATGAGGGGGGCGGGGGCAGGTTTTCGGGATGCTGTCAGGCTTAGCCGCCGCGTCGCCCTGCCGCGCTGCGGGCCGGGGCAGCTGCGCGGCGGCTGCCGCGGAGCAGGGCGCGCGGTGCGTGGGTGTGTGTGCGTGTGGAGGGGCTCCCTGGGGCGGGCAGGCGGCTGCGCGCAGCGCCGCGGGACGGGCTGGGGCGGCGGCCACGGGCGTTATGTAACGGGCGGGTGCCCGCAGCGCCCCCCGCCCCCCCTTCCCCTCCATCGGCGGCGGGGCGTCAATCACGCACCCTGCAAAAACAGCGCGGGCGGGGGGGGGAGGGAAAAGCGGGGGATGCTTCCCCCTGCCCTCAAAATTAATAATTAACAGAATTATAAAGCGGGGGCAGCGGCGGGGGGCCCGGCGCGCGGGCAGCGGCGCGCACTTACCCGCGGCTCGGCGCGGGCGGCGGCCCCTCCTGCGGCGCGAGCTG